ATCACAGAATCCCAAGACTTACTCCTGGCTAGAGGATTGTAGGAATTATAGTCTTAAAAAGTAATTTTTCCAAACTCTGGTCTAGTTGATGGGCGAGCAAAGCATGAAAAATAGGGAGCAATAAAGGGAGCACATGCAATCAACAGTCTACTGTCTGGGTAAAACCTGGTGAACTAGATCATATTGTTATCTGAAGATTAGGGGTGGGGGGAGTTCTCTTTTTGGCATCTGGGCAAGAAGAAATCTATACTCCAGTGCCTGCTGGCCTGCTGAGAAGCTTTGGTGGTAGGTGGCCAGGTTTTAAAGCTACGCCACACAGGAAAGTCCTGTTTTTTCCCCCTCCTACAGTGGCACTTATTCTGAGATTAGTGTCCCTACCTGGAGATCTGAGGAAGCTGCCTAGCAATGTGCGGGACTTCAGCTGGTGCCCTGAAACCTGACAGTTCTCCACCAGCAGACCTCTGAGTTTTGTGTCTGAGTCCTGCGCACTAGCTCCTGTAAGGAACGGCATTGGCAGAGGCAAGTATTCCCACATCAGGCTAGGGAGAGCTGTTGCTTATCCATCCACTTTCCCTATTCACTGTTGCCTTCTTGCCCAGAAGTTTGTGTGACTGTAGTGGAAAAGTCAGCTCAGGCCCGGAGTGCTTTGTTTGCCCCAAAAGGTCACTGGCAACAGCCTCCACAGACGTGCCGTGATGCATGGGCCCAGCTAGGCACCAGCTGACAGGAGCACAACAGCAAAGAGGGAGGACTGGGGGAAGAGAGGAAGGGTGAGCAGAAAGCCCACGTGGCTCTTTGGAGGAAAGTGGGGGAGATAGATAAGGAGGTGGCCTAAGAGGAGGTGAAGGAGCTCTTGCTGCCAAAAGCCGGGAAGATGTGGTACCTTTCCCCAGTCACAAGCTCTGCTGAAATTCACATCAGATAACTTCATTGCCATGTCCTTAGAACCAATATTTCCCAAAGGAATGAAACTGACTGGCCAAACCTGTGCTTTCTGTCCACTCTGTATTTTGCATGTAGTCGAGTTTTGGTTTGTGGTTTGTCAGTAAGAGGTAAACACAGCCTTGACTTGTTGGTCTTATGGCCCAGACCAGCACCCTTCACGGTGGAAATCCTGCTGTCAAACAACATGGAGGGAGTTCACATGGACCCTCAGCCCTAGCTTCTTGTCCCAGATGTTGCTGGATGGTGGTTCCCTTAATCCCACCCCCCCCGCTATCCCAAAGAGACCTGGTGGGAACTGTAGACCCAACGTGCCTGCAAGGGCCAGTCCCCCCTTTCTTGCTTTAGCTGAAACCCCCCACTTAGCTTTTTGGTGGTGGCATGTGCTCTTCTGCAGAGGACAATCCTCCGCGTGAAGGGCTGCAAGAGCACAGTCCTCTTTGGGAAGGTCCTGTCTCAGAAGAACCCAAGCCAATGTTTTTCAAAGAACCCTGAGTCGGGAGTTGATGGCCCCATCAGCTGTCCAGATAGCAGCACCTGGATGGCAGACTTGGCAGAAGTCACCCACCTGGTCATTGTCTTCCCTGTTTGAGGGAGGTGGACTGCATTTCTGTTTCAATTATAAAATTGAATACCTAATTCATACCTATGAATTAACACATGCAGTTTTATGCAGATATGTGCCCTCTTTTGCCCTCTTTTGATGACTCGTGAGTGGCCACCCTTCTTAGCTGATGCCAAGGTAACTGGGTGCATGTGTGTGGGTGAATCTACTCTGCCAGGCCTTTCCTTGATGACCTACTTTGGTTGGTATTGACAACAGACAGGCAGAGAGAAAACCCAGCTGTGGATTGCCGTGCTCAGCAGAATGTTAGCTGTGGAGGAAGCAGAGACATTGAGAACGAGATGAGTAGACGGGAGGGGAGAGAGAGGATGGAAGAGAAGTACATACAGAGGTATTATGCTGCAACTCTGGGATCCACACTGGCTTTGAGCCTCTTTCTGGGCCCAATCCAAGGTGCTGCTGTTAGCCTTGAAAACTCTCAATAGCTTTGGGCTGGGTTGCATGGGGCCATTGTATCCCACATGTGCCCCCACTCTGGTTGGCCGGATGCCTGTGTGTGGTCTTTTGGGCAGCAGGTGAAGTCCTTCATGGTGCCAGCCAGACCACTGGCAATCCTCCAGCAGTCTGAGACCCTGTTGATCTACTGGGGTAGGGAATTCATGCCTTCCCTTCCTAGAGAGGGTTCAGATGACAGCCTAATGTTGCCAGGGGGGCACTTAGAGTTACAAATGCCCAGGGTACCATCAGAAGTCCTGTGAAGAAGAAGATGGGTATTGCTGTGCTTTTTTGGGTCTCCAGGTGGGGAGACACATCTCAGTATGAGGGCTGATGGAGGAGGTTTTGCCCATTGCAGCTGCCGACTCTGCATATCTTAGGGCCTTGAACATGCCTGCACCAAGATGGAAAGCTGAGGCCAAGTCCGTGGGTGGGAAGGCAAAGTGTTCAGTGCAACAGGCCAAGCCCATCAAGAGGGAGACCAGGGTCAGGCTTATGAAGGAGGACAGGGAACTGGAAAGGATTCAGAGCAGAGCCATAAAAATGCTCCTAGTGTCTAGAAGACAAATTGTAGGAGGACAAGCTGAAGGAATTTGGTATGTTTAGCCTAGAGAGAGAGAAAAAGAAGATTACAGGGTGAATCTATGGTGAGTCTTCGAATATTTAAAGAGATGTCAGAAAGAAGTAGGGGATGCATTTTTCACCCTGTCCATTCAAGAGAGGAGAAGATGGTAATAGGCTTAAACCTTACATGAAATATTTCAGCAAGAGAAAGTGCTTCCCCAAAAGGATGCAGCTCCTCCTGGAGGTTTGTTAAGAAGGACCACAGTTGGAAATGCTACTTTTGTGGACTACAACTCCCAGAATTCCTCAGCTAGCAGGAGCTGTAATCCAAAAAAGACATGTTTCCCAAGCAGAGTGCTATAAAGCAGCTGCGGGTTAAGTATGGCTTACCATCACAGGATACCCCCCCCCGTTTCACTCTATGGCCTCCCAAAGCCTGGGGTATTAGAAAGGATGTGCAGCCCACCAGCACATGGTGGAGGTCAGAACTGGTCTCCAGGCCTCGAAAGCTGCCCCGGCTGGCCCTGACCACTTGTCTCTGTTGGTAAACTCCTGCTCCTCAAATGCATTTAATCCCCTTTTAAAGCCATTCAAGCAGGTAGCCAATCACCACCACTGTGATTGTGGCAATGAATCACATCAGCTGAGAGCCCCATGTTCCTCCATGTTCCTTCTGCAAAAGTCCCCAGAGCAACAGGTGACATTCAGAATAGGGCACTGCTCACCCCCTCCCCCAGAAGCCTGCACAGATGGCAGACCCCATCTATTCCAAAATGTTGTACAGAATGGTGTTCTGTTGTCTTTTGCAAGGTGTCAGACACCCAAACTAGCATGTCCAGTGTAGAGGGATAAGTGAGGAGTTATGTAACACAGTTATTTAATGAGGCCTTCTGCTGAATTATTAAGGTGCCATGCTGTACTGGCACTTAGGTGTCCTCTGCAGTGTGGCTAATGCAAGGGAGTTTATTAAAGGGCATATTTGGAGGCTTGATTTAAAGAGACGCTCTCCACAACACCACCCCCACCAGCAACTTCCACCTGAGTAAGAGAGAGCCACCCAGTGCTTTTTTCTGTGTCCACCCTCCACTGCAGAGGAGTCCTCTGACATTCCTTGCCGCCTTCATTCTTTACCTCTATCCTGCAAGAATCCTGTGCTGCACAGGGACTCCAGAGGTGCGCCACTCCACTTCCAATGATTAATGCACTGCTGTCCCCAGAACACCGACTGCGTCTCGCAGACTGCCCTAAGCATGATGGATGAGTCCATAGCCCATTGCCGTAGGGCGGGGGGGGGAAGGAGGCTGTGTGGTTCGAGGCAAAGAGCAGGCTAGCTGGCCACGGTGGCAATGAGAGCAGCTGCTGTTGCTGGGAATGCTCAGGAATGCATCTATTTCCAGGTCTTAGCCTAGAAGAGTTACGTTTATAGGGAAACAGCTCCCAGAATTCCCACGGAGCTCCCAGATTCTGGAGGCCATCATTCAAAAAAGTATCTTCCCCAGGCTTCGACTGGGACCCAAACTGTCAGAGATGTGCTCAGGCCTTTTAGGAACTTTGGAAGCTGCCTCATGCTAAGTCTCGCCCTTGGCCCATCTAGCTCCATATTGTCAAATGTTTCTGGCTATTCAGAAAAAAAAAACTGCTGGAAATTTTGTGCTAATTGTTTTATACAGTTTGGAGATAAATGCATCAAGTAGTGGGGAGCATCTTATCGCCAGATTTCAGGGGAATACCCTCCCATGCCTGTCTCAAGTCCACCCATCTTGCAGACATATTGGCTCCCTTTCTTTCCCTTTCTCAGGCAGCTTTGACTCTCTCAAGCCCGAATCTGTCCTGGTAACTGCTAGCCGTTGCCCAGGAGAGAAAGAGAGAGAGACGTCTTGGAGGGGACCTCCATCTGTGCACATCTCTCCCCAAAGAGGCCCGCCTGGTGCCAGCCAAAGAGACAAAGCACTTTCCCCTTTCTCACGTGCTTTAAAATAATAGCAACACACTGATTTCATCTATTGTACATTCCTGTTATATTTCATCTTGTTTTTGGCAAACAGGGTCCAGGGCAGTGTAGTACCAATCTTTTAAATGTGTAAGGCAGCACATCAATAAGGTGGTGCAACCTGACAGTACAGCAGTGGTGCTGGACGTCTCTCTTGGGTTTCAGGGGAGCTGCACAGAGTTCCAGCTGCAGGAGAGAGGCAGCAATTCTGAATCCCACGACTGCTGGCAGGGCTTGAGTGGAGCAATGGGATGACAGTTTTCCTCTTTTCCTACCCCCATGTTGATGACGTTGAGCTAAATATGTTAAAGGACAAGGCAACATGGCATGTAAGTGTGTGTGTGTGTGTGTGTGTGTGTGTGTGTGTGTGTGTGGTAGGGGGTGTTGGGGAGGAGAGAGATGAGATTTATTGGCATCTCATAATAGACTTTTTTCCCCAGGTGACCTTTTGGGAAATGCGTGGAAGGGACTCAAAGGGAAGAGCAAATTATTTCCCCAAGTTGAAGCTTGACTCATATTTAATCTGGATTCAAGGTATGATTTTTATATGTGTGTTTGTGTGTGCACACATGCTTCATCACACTTGTGTTCATGAGGTCTCTGGAAAGTTCAGTCTCTCTGGTTGCCATTTTCCAATGGGGAACTGAGCTTGGGGGAAAACGATAGGACCAAGAAAGACTTTGAGAAGCCACCTTCCCATCTTCAGGCCATCTTCAGCCTCAATCTCTAAATGGTTTTACAGTTTACAGTGGCTGCCTTGCTCTCTTTCTACCTTTCCGCAAGCAGAGAGCCCTGGCTCCCCAGAGAAATGATTGGGTGTGGCGGCAGGTGGTTTCCTCTCCAGACTTTGGCAAATTGTTGGTTTGGGATATGAAGTCCCAGAACCACCATCCCCCCCCCGCCCCCTTGCAGCTGCTGTCTCCATTCCACACATGCTGGTGTGTGACTGGCATCGTGCTGGGCTCCTTCTGGCCTTTGGTAGCTACCAGCATCCCCTGTCCAGTGCCCTGGCATAGGAGAGACAGACCCGCTGGTCGTTCTGCTTGAGAGAAAGGGAAAGACTGGTGGTGGGGCTCTTTGCACGGCACAGAGCAAGCCCCCTGCCTGTTGAGTGGCTTGATTGGGGACCCAGAGTCCCTGTATGGACTCTGTATGAGCAACACCATCAGGTCAGCTGTGGACGTGGAGGGGCAAAGCTCACATCATCTGCCTTTGCTGTGAGCTGAGTTTGGAAAAGTTACTTTTCCAGCATGAGGATTCTAAAAGTTTCACTCTAAAAAGTAATTTTACAAATATTCCAGTTCTGGTTTTAAGGTGAAATTATGCAACCATTAAATTTGCTTCCTGCTCCCCCTTGAATTTATCTCTATAGTGATTGTTCTGGGGAAAATTTCTTAAGCACCCCCCTGGAGTTGTTTCTAGCACCCATTATTGCCGCCTGAGCACAGAGGAGGATCCAAGGCACATTGCAAACAAACGCCCGCAGCAGAAACACCTCGTGCCCGGCAGAGGCCGACAGCCTATAATTATTGAGATAACAAGAGAGCAATTATTGTTTGAGCACAAATACCTCTCTCTTTTGGTAAAGAATATCTCTTTTTTTACCTTAATATGTGTGTGTGTGTGTGTGCGTGTGCGCGTACATTAAGAGAGAGACTTTTTGGAAGGCAGGTGATGTTTGAGAGGATGAGAGAAAGAGAAATAAGGGAAGGTAATGTGCACTAGCTCCACCCACAGAGCTCTCCTTGATGAAATTCAGGGAGGTTATATATATATATGGAACATGTTAAGCTTCTTGCTGTGGATGATGGGTGACCTCTTGCTCCCCCCTCTCCCTATTTTTGGGGTCCTTTCTCTTTACAGCAGGTCTGGGCTCACCAGCAAAGCTTTGACTGCTGAACACCTTCGTAAAGTGCCTTATCCTTCAATGGAAGGATGGTTCTCTCTAAAAGGGGGACACATAGCCAGTCCTAGACCTCCGATAACAGAGGCGAGTGGTTACCTCCTTGGCTCTGATTCTGACCCAATGCACATTTCTTGAGGCATAGGCCTCAGTAGCATTTCCCTGTCGTGTGTGAGCTCCGTTGGAGCAGGGACACCTTTCCTTGTTTAAAACAAAGCTTTGGGAGTAATTGAGTTACCAGGAAAGCTGTTGCCTGTAACAAGTTAATCTTTGTTTAATGAGTGTGGAGCACAGTTGCATTTGAAAAGGGATTAAACAAGTAGAAACAAAGTAACTGCATTACCATTTTCTAGTTTTGTTGAAAAATCAGTTTTAAAGGGCGTTTAAAGGCATTTGTGGAAACATTTTGACATGTTTTATTTCTGTTTTGTGTCATTTTAAAGAGTGTTTTATATATATTTTTAGTACGGTAATGAGAAATACTGTAATGGGAAAGCAATGAGCTGAATATTTTAATACAATGTAACTACTAATGACAACAGGACACTGTAAGGAATAACAAATATGACTAACTTTTACAAAGTAACTTCCTTCAGAGGGCTTGGTTTCCAGTCCCCTGATCACCCTGATTGCTTTCTTCTGAAGTCGTTCCAATTTGTCAGCATCCTTCTTTCAGCATAGTGTCCAGAACTGGATACAGGACTCAAAATGAGTCCTTTCAATATTACTGTATTCTGTATTATAAATAAGATTGAAGCAGGGTGCAGAGCAGAGAGGTTGGCTGTTGGATTCTGGGAGCTGTAGTAAAAAAAACACCATCCAGATTCTGGAAAATCCAGATTCTCTGTCGATCTTTCAGCAAGTGGGACTGCGTGGCATCAGCAACCTCTCAATCTGAGCAGTGTTATCACTGGGCAAGAACAAGTGGGTTTCCTGCTTTGGCAGGAGGTTAGGCTTGATGACCTTTGGGATTCCTTCCAGCTTTCCCGTCTTATGATTGGGTGACTAGAGCTGCGCTTAGCACTGCTGTTGCTGCACCTGCTCCTCCTGTACCTTCTGCTCCTCCTCCTCCATGAATGAATCAAATTCTCCTTTACAGTCTAAGCTGTTGACCATGATCATGTCTTGTGGCAGCAAAACTGACTTTTAAAAAATGTTTTATTTAACAATATTTCAACGATAACTGCTCTTCTTTTCAACTGTAATAGTTCACAAAGTGGTTCACAGAAATGCTGTCAGATTTATAGGAGGATCCTTTTGCCCTCACAGTGACAGATTGGGAATAATAAGTGCCTTTGAGGGCAATAAGGGATGCTGTTGTGTGGCACCTGCTTCTGTCTTCCTCAAAGGAGCCAGAGGCTAGAGGGAACACTTCTCTCTCTGTGTGTATGTGCCTGTCTGTACACGCACGTGCATCTTTCACAGTCTACCATGAATTCTGTGAATTAACTGAGTGTGGGAAAGTTATTTATTTGCAAGTAACAACATTATTTTCAAGTTCAGGTTTTGCTAAATCTACCACAATTCAGTTTCTTTGCTTGGGAGTTGGAGTCTTTAGCATCAACAGTGTGAAGTGACAGAAAAACACTGCTCCTATAATTCCAGAAGGCACCAACAGAAGTGCATTTTCTGGACCAAGGAGAGTAACAGCACCACTCCTGCTTTGGTCAGACCTCACCTGGATTCAGTGTGTTGGGTTCTGGCACCACAATTTATGGAAGATTCTGACAAGCATGAATGTGCTCAGAGGAGGGCAAACAGGGTGGTAAAGGGTCTGGAAATCAAGCCTGGTGAGAAATGGCTGAAGGAACTGGATATGTTTAGCCTGGAGAAGATGGAGAGTTGATAGGCTCAAATATTTGAAGGGGTGCTGCAGGGAAGATGCATTCTAGAGGGGACAAGAAGACTCAAATCACAAGAAAGGAAATGCCAAGTTGTCATTAAGAGGACTTCCTGATGGCCACAGCTGTTTGACAGTGGAACAGGCTGTCTCACAAGAGGACAGGCTTTGCTTCCTCAGAGGTTTCCATGTAGAGAGTAGGCAACCATCTGTCAAGGGTGTTTGGACAAGGGTTGGAGGACTCTCCAGAGAGCTTCCAGATCCACAGGGCTAGGATGCTGTGATTTCCAGCCCATGTCCTTGGGTGTTATTAACAAGTGAGAAGCCCTGGACACACACACACAGAGTTCTGCCTGCACATGCATTATGGAGATCAGCTCCGATGCATTTTCTGTGCCCTTCCCAAATGCTGCTTGTCAGTCCCAACCGTTGTGGAGCAGAAGAGGCAAATGGGAAGAAAATTCTGAACTGCGTATGGCAAGTGTCCCTCATCGGTCCCCTTTGTCTGCTGTGGTTGAGCACCCCTCTCAGCCATGCAGAAGGGGACAGAAAAAGACTGGCAGTGGAGCTGTCAGGTGAGGGCACGTCCCATCCAGACTGCAACAGCGTCTGCAAAGTGGAAATGTCATGGCAACAATGGTCGCAAGAATAGGGGACTCAAGAAATCTTTTTTGATTAATCACCTGCCTTTTAAATGATGAATTAATCTATTAAATGTAGATACACTTGCAGATCACCCATCTACAGTAGGTTTTTCTTTTCTTTTTACTACAGTAACTGCATATATGTTGAGTTTTTTTGTATTCTTAAAATTGCAAAGAACATAAGAGTTGTTATTGTTTCGACTTACAGTGAGTCCTAAATCACACCAAGCCTGGATTATCTCTGGAGGCAAAAATGTTGGAACTGAGGCAGTCCTATTTTAGACACATTTTGAGAAGGCAGGATCGTCTGGAGGAGACAATGGTGCTGGGAAAGGTGGAACAGGAAAAGGGGAAAGCCAAATATGAGATAGATTGAGTCTCTAAAGGAAGCCCCATGTTTGAGTTTTCAAGAGCTGAGCAGGGCCTGTTGAGGACAGGACATTTTGGAGATGGCTCCTTCATGCACTTGTTATACATCAGAGGTGACTTAACAGCATATAAACAACACCAACAGCAAGTTGTAGAGTCATCAGTCTTGATATGTTTGGGAGATACTGGAGGAAATTGGATCATTTGGAAGATAATAAATACAGTACCAGTGACACTAAGTCATAGTTAGAAGGAAGTTATATTTTGAACATACGTTTCATTTCTTTGCAGGCCAGAACTCTAGTAGTCTCTGAATAAGTCTCCTCTTAAACTAAAATAGTCTCCAATTGATTAATCAACATAAGCCTTAATTGGTTTAACCCATAGATTATTCTATTAGAGTTTGCAGACTTTCTAATAACAGCTATTAATGTGAGCCTTAATTGAGTGGAGGGGCACTTAATTCTACAGAGCTTTTATTCCTTAAAAATCAGGCTAGCCTTTGAGGTGATTGAGTCCCCTTTGCTTTGCTTTGCTTTGTTTTGTTAATTTTGAAACACACCACTGGGTACTGCAAGGTATACCTTTTACATTAAAGAACAGAGTGATTCTGACGGACATTCTGAATTGAGGAATTTGCTTCCAGCATCAGAACTGAACGGATCTCACTGTTCTGACTGGGACAGCCACCTTTTGGAGCTGCCATGACCCCAGTGCCTGACTGAGGGCCACATCCTTGTTCCTCCAGGCTGTTTGCATTTCAGCAGGCACATGTTGG